GTTTCAGGGGGTTGTGCTGACAGTGCACGTTACCAGGGTGAGGGGGGAATCAGGGGTTTGGGTGATTCATGGTACCTCCGACTCCGACTCTGTTCGTCGTCCTGCCCAGCTCACTAACGTCACTGGAACCCTGTGGCCGGAAAGGGGGCCTCGTTACAGGGACAGCCCTGCTTACAGATCTCCACCCCATCCCTACCCTTTGACTGAACAGTGAAACGAGAAGCAGCAGACTGATGAGCTCACCTCTTTGTCACTCTTCTCTCTCCTCTTATCAAGGACGCCCCTTGCACTGCAGCACAACTGATTGTGCTGCTTCACCCTCCCTTGTCTGAACTCTGCTGTACTGAGATTACAAGAGGCTAATATCAATAAAATTCAGGTACACACACTACTTTGAACTAAATTTACTACTAAATTTAAGAACACAGAGCTGCATTCATTTGCATCTATTTTGCATCTATTATATATATCTCTAGTGTAGCTTTTAAAATGTTTATCAGGTTTGACACTGGAGTTATTGAAGATGGCAAAGGATGGATGATGACTGTCATACATTTTTGGTGTACCTAAATCTTGATAAAGGTAAAAGCAAAGAAGCAAGTGACAATAAATAGTTAAATATCTATAAATATTGTGCTATTACATGCTGCATTGTCAGACAGCATACCTACAAAATTGTACATGTGGTATAGTATACTCAAAAAAGCCCCTACCTAAGTCTATTAATTCAGTTTTGGGAGGAAGGCATCTCTAAGACCCAATGCTCTACATTTACCTCTATTTAACTCTTCATTGCTGTTTATGCATCTCAGTGTCCACTCACACGTCTACATTGCTCTACAGTACAATGTATGTGTTTTGTTGAAGGATTATGCTATGCATGAGTAGAAACCATTTATTTCAATGCATTCTGCTTTGATCATTAAGCAGAGCGTTTTTAAAGGTTCGTGCAGACCATTTTTGATGCAGTTAGGTGAGCCTATGAAGCAAGTTATTGCATGTGTTACATGGTGCACATGGAAATGAAATGCAAGATATATTAACAATTTAGACCACACTGGAATATGTGCAATAACTTTAGTGACGGCAAGCTGCAATACTTGGGAAATGCAAGATACGCTCATTTTTGTGGGCCTACTGAAGGTGCATTTATGCAAAAATATGGCACATTTTCTTTTACAGAGATCAGTAACTCAAGGGGGAATTACACAACAAACTGAATGACAGATTGCGGTGATCCATCCCTTGTTTACATTGAAGTCTGCCTGCCTTAAATAGATGATTACTACTACGCTATCTCTGTAGACAACTCATAGTGACCTGGAAGTCCTTGGTCATGAATAAAGATTGTACACATATATAGTGAAAACAGACAAACAAGAGTTTAAAACCATATGGACTTTAAGGATCCATTCACACCTTTTGCACTGTGGTAATGTGCTGTAAAATGTGTGTTTTACTTCATATTACTGCAATGTATAAACTGCAGTGTGGTGCCAATAATTTTGAAGAGCACCCCAACACACATACTACGCATACTGAGCATTGTGCTGTAATGCACAAAAAGATACAGCTCCATTTATTCATGTATTCGGATGCACTGCTAGTCCATTGAGAAGGAATGGGCTGCTTTAATGCTGCCTTGCACAATAGCATAGTGTGAACATTTGCGAAATCAGCACAGCGTGTTAAGGGACCCTGAAACAACTAAAATAAAGCTGACCCAAAATATTTGTAGTTTCCTTTTAAATAACTAACATAAAGCTATACCCACCCTTCTTTGAGCACGATTGGTTGCTCTATACTTTTGTGGTCACGTCTTCCAGAAGATGAAATTAGGTCCAGGAACTGAACAATGAAGACATATGTATTAGTTACAATTGCAGCGTGCTATGAATGAAAAATGTCTAATAAGTTTTAAATAAGGCAATGTGTAGCATCTGTGCTCCTGAAACACTACTCCCTCCATGAATATATGCCGAGCATGTCCAGCCATGATGTTCATTTTATCCAACAATTAAGATACATGACCCCGATCACATCTAATTACTCTGATGGAAGCAGAGCATTTTCTACAAATTAAACTAACCTGGAAACCACTAAGATACCAACACCATCCAAATAACATCAGATTAACAAGCTGTACAAGACTAGAAGACTAGACTGAAATGGTAAATCAAGGCTAAAGGCTTAAATATAGTAAGAGGTATTTTAATATACTGTATATCTAATAAGGATAGTGACAATGTTTTCCATTATTATTCCATATAGGTTAACAAATGATTTTGGCATAGAATTTATATACTATACTATACACAGACCTGAATATAAACTAATATAAAGGTACTTTGCTTTCCAGTCTTACATTTTTAACGGAGTCAGCATACTTCTGCTCATTAAAGTAGTCATAAAAAGCAGCCATGTAGGTTTCTTTGAAGCTGGCCTGCAAGAAGAAGTCAAATATGTAAATACTGCAACATATTAATATATTACAATGCTTAAACCAATTGTTCTACTGACAGTTAGTCTGCTACTATCAAGAGAGTCTGGTTAAACATGGAAAAATACAGAGGCAGCATTGTGGCTTAGTGATTGGTCCTCTGGCCTTGAAGTACTAAAGTCCAAGGCTCAATTCCTACCATAGATACTATACCCATGAAGTTTTTCAGTGTTCTACTGAAGACTGTGTATATCGCCGAATTTTCATCTTCCACCAATTTGTCCTCTTGTGCATGTGTTAAGGACAATAAGGACGTTCTATCATAACCTCCTTCAGGCAGTAATTAAAATGATATCTACAACTAAAACATTGGTTGTAGGGAAGGGTTAAACCAGGGAGTAAGAGGAAACCTCTCTGAACAGACAGTTGTCACAGGTCATCCCAATGAAAGACTTCCCCTAAATTCCTGTTTCTGGAACAACTCAGTTGTGTATTCTTCTTTAGATGGCCATACACTGTACAACCATCGGAAGACCTTAGTCTTGCGATGGTTGTAAAGTGATTAAAAAAACGTACGATCTGCCCATCTTGGACACCGGCCCGTTCGTCAGTTGTCGAACAAGCAGGCCACTCACTCGCCGAGAATCGTACGATTCCCGGCGGGTTTTCTGGCCTGCTGGTTCGACGGAAGATGTGCGACCGTACAGTAGAAACGGTCGCACGCCTTCCATACACTGCACGATTCTCGTACGATCGCGGGGTTTCCCGCGATTCTCGTACGAGAATCGCGGGAAACCCCGCGATCGTACGAGAATCGTGCAGTGTATGGAAGGCGTGCGACCGTTTCTACTGTACGTTGCACGTCTTCCGTCGAACCAGCAGGCCAGAAAACCCGCCGGGAATCGTACGATTCTCGGCGAGTGAGTGGCCTGCTTGTTCGACAACTGACGAACGGGCCGGTGTCCAAGATGGGCAGATCGTATGTTTTTTTAAGCACTTTACAACCCTCGCAAGACAAAAGTCTAGCGAGTGTTGTAAAGTGTATGGGCACCTTAACTAGCCGAGAATCGTACGATTCCCGGCTGGTTTTCTAGCCTGCTGGTTCGACGGAAGACGTGCGACCGTACAGTAGAAACGGTCGCAATACACTGCACGATTCTCGTACGATCGCAGGATTTCCCGCGATTCTCGTACGAGAATCGTGCAGTGTATGGGCACCTTTAGAAATGGTTAGTAATGACAATCTACAAGCACATACTTATAGATAATTGCCGGCATTGTATTCTTTGCATACCCTGTTTCTCTTTTCTTTCCCTGTCTTCTGACAGTGGCCATGTTTACTAAGGGTAGATTACTAGCTCTCCTATTACTTCCTGAAAATCTGGCACATGTGACTAGGACATGTGACCATGCACATCATCTCAGGGGAGGAAAATGCCTTTCCCTGAGATCTCCTGAGATTACAGATGAGATTTCCCAGCAATGCTCTGCTGATGACAAGGCAATCCCAGTGTGCATTGCGTTGGCAAACTGAAGTAATTTGTACTTTCAAAGCAGGAAGTGAATGCTCTGCAAGTTTAAGTATTTCAAAATCCAGGCATTTTATATCTGACATGTCTATGTTATTATTAATCATCATACATAGAGGGACGCATTGGTAGAAGTTGATTTTTGATTGTAAAGGTCCGCTTTAACAATTTTGGGCATAATTGCCCACATTTAGGAGCACACTTTCCAGCAGCAGGAAAAATTGGTGGTGACATTTATGTCCCACCCGCAGCAGCAACTTGTATGCTGCCCCCTTCTAGGCCAGACATTCTATGGGATGCAGGGCAATTTGCTAAATTGTTGGCCTGTCCTACAGAAAGAGGGACACTTCACCATCTATGTTGCTGGATGTGTTCAAATAGTTTAACAACCAGATGCAACCTGGACAGAAATCAGGGCCCTGTGTACTTTCTGGACCTGGGGATCCAAAGGGGCTCAACAGAAACACAGAGATTGGTTTGAAAGCCAACATAGGTGCTCACCGACACCTTAGTAATTTTTTTATGCCAAGTCAGGTACACTTTAACACCTTGCATAAAGGACAATAAAGGTTGCATTCTGGAAGCAAACAAAATGTGTCATATGATTTACAATGTATGTCATAAACCTTTTGGAGTACCAAGAAGTCAATAGAAATTCATAAATCTTTTTTGCCAGTGTATTCTCATCATTCTGTAAATAGTGTAGAACTTCATCCTCAGGCTCTGTAGGAAATAGAGTATATTGATGATGGATAACCAGGGCAACTGAAATCAATAAGAATTGTGAGAGAAAGGTGAATATTTTAACTACGCATTCTGCTTTAAACAAGCTAATTCCAGAACTGGGAGGCTGACTCAGGAACTGAATAGTCTGTAAACTCCACTGGTTTCAGAATGGATGTGTGATTTAAAGCAGAACTCCAGCCAAGAATAGCAAGATTAGAATGAATACGACATTTAAAGATAAAATAACAAAAATGATTTTTGCTGCAATATCTACCTTCAACCCAGAGATTTCCCCCACAGTACTATTACGGTCGCACGCCTTCCATACACTACACTTCTCGTACGATCACGGGATTTCCCGCGATTCTCGTACGAGAATCGTGCAGTGTATGGGCACCTTTTGTCAGTCCTCTACAATGGTCACTAGGACAAATATAGAGGAGGTGAACCACCCTGCAGGAACACGGACATGATTATTAAGCCTTCTCCACTCACACGCAGAACACTTTAATGTAATATGTAAAGCACTA